AGTTCTGATCTTCTAAGAAGCCGTGTGGAAGATTATTAACACTTTAAGTGAGAAGAAGAAAATCTCCAGGCTGTAGAACAAACTCAGGAGGTTATCTAATCCTAATATAATCCACACTCACTGAATGGAGACAAATCATGGGTGTTGAACAAGCGAGAGTAAGAATGCTTATCCTAAAAAAACAATTATAAAAGTGGTAAAGAAGAGATTTTGATAAATGAAGAGACAAAAGCATTTTTATAGCGCTTCATGGTACTTTGCAGACCTCTCTGAGCAGTTTAGAGAGCCAGCACATTTTCCCCCAACAATCTGGGTCCCCATTTTACCAACTTTGGAAGGATGGAAGACTCGGTTAACTTTGAGCCAATCAGCATCGAACTCCTGGCAGTGGGCAGAATCAGCCTGCAATGCTGCATTCTAACCACTGTGCCACTTGGGAAATCCCCATGCAACACTCACTGCATAGAGTAATATAAGCCATATCTGACTTAGCAGCAAATGTGCTGTATCAAATACAGGTAATCCTCAATTTACAACGGTTCACTCAGTAACCATTCAAAGCTACAATGGCATGGAGAACAGTGACTCATGACCATTTCTCACGCCGATGACTGTTGCAGCATCCTCACGATCATACGATTAACATTCGGATGCTTGACCAATGACTTCCATTTATGATGATTACCACCGTTGACCAAGCAAAATCATTGGGTTAAACCAGATTCACTTAACAGCCATGTTACTAATTTAACAATTGCAGTGATCCCCAAAACAAATGTGATAAGAAAGATCATAAAATAGATCAAAACCCAATTAGCAAATTTCTCACTTTGGGACATAAATTTTGGGCTCAATTGTGGCCATATGTCATCCTGTAATCTTCTCAGCTGTCCTGACCACTCTCTGTATGGCCTTTTTATAGTGGTACACTAAACCAAACAGTGTTGCAGTTTGTAAAAAGGCTCCAATTTGTCCCTTTGTAACAAGTGACCAGGTACAGAAGATGAATGATAATATGCTCTCCTCATCCGAAGCAGGGAGTTCCGAAACTGGTTTGCACGCTTCACTAATGATGATGTGTGGAGACACCAAATCAGATTGTTAGTTATCTGCTCCCCCAGATCCTTAATACTGTTGATCAACTCTACAGCGGCATCCTTGCTACTGAGTGGAGTATGACCATGCCATCTCTTCCTACTATGATCTCCTTTGTTTTATTAACATTTTAAACCAGGTTACTTTTATTGCACCAGTCCACCCAAGCCTCCACCTCTTCCCTATCAGCATCACCATTGTTTTCCTGGATAAGACCTACTACTCCTTGGTCATCTGCATACTTCACAATATAATTCATAGCACATTTGGCACAGTGGTCTGAGGTCATCAAGCTGAACAGTAACAGATTCTAAACACAGCCCTGTGGGGAACCTGTACTCAAGGAGATGGAGATGGAAACTTCTATTCCATCTCTTGCAAATGGGGGCATCTATCAATATATAGCAATAGCTCTTAGACTTCTATACCGCTTTATAGTGCTATTACAGCCCTCTCTAAGCAGTTTAGAGAATCAGCATATTGCCCCCAACAATCTGGGTCATCAGAAGGATGAAGGATGAGTCAACCTTGAGCCGGTGAGATTTGAACTGCTGAAATGCAGCTAGCAGTCTGCTGAAGTAGCCTACAGTACGGCTCTCTAGCCACTGCACCACCTCCTCTCTCTATCTCTATCTCTATCTCTATCTCTATCTCTATCTCTATCTCTATCTATATCTATATCTATATCTATGTCAGTCAGTCAGTCAGTCAGTCAGTCTTTCTGTCTGTCTGTCTGTCTATCTATCTATCTATCTATCTATCTATCTATCTATCTATCTATCTATCTATCTATCTATCTATCATCTAACTATATGCAATTCTAAGTCCTTTGAATCTCAATGTTGCCAATTCTCCTTGTTTTAATAGTTTTAGATGTTGTTCCATTTACATCCCTTCTTTAGAAATATATATTCAGTGTCCTCAGTCCTGAAGCATTGTCCCCTCAGTAGCATTGAGGCATGAGAGGAAAACATTGGTCAGGAAGGAACTCTGTAGCAAATGACCAACCCAGACATAGAAATTGGGCTTCAACGGTTGATCTTCATTCAGATTTTGGTGTTTGTAGGTTTTTTTTCTCCAAAAGGGCATGAGAAAGGGGATAAACACTGTAAAGCTTTTCCTGAATATAGATGTGCATCTCCAGCGTAGCCCTCCCAAAAAGTATAATTGCATGTTCCTTGGTTCACCCTTTGGATCACTTTGGCAAGAAATAGTTTGCCTTCACTCTTATGAGGAGTGGAATATTTTGTGGAAGTCCCCCCTGTAAAGACAAGGAAAACTCTGAGATTAATTCAGTGAGTGGAGCTTTTATCTAAAGCGATATGTAAATGAAGGCAAAATTTCCCCTTTAAAGGATCCCCTTGATTTCTCNATCAATTTCTTCTGTCTGTGTCTTTTCTTTGATTCAACTCAAATTGTCTTACAGAAAGATCCCTCATCATTTGCTTTGCACTCATGTTTTGGTGTTTTTGTCAAGGGGAGAAAATGTGGGGAGGAAAAATCTAATCAATTCATTCGATTTTTGACTGATCTTCTTTTCATGTTCTATCTCAAAATATCTACTTCCGAAAATTTAATTGCACATTCCCATCCTGTCCTTTTGAATCACTTTTGAGAATTTGTGCTATTTTGCAAGTTTTTGTATTCATTTCTCTAATATAAACCTGCTGCTTTTCCTATGACTTTATAGATTAAAGGAGTATCCTTTCGCTTTTATTAAGAGTGGCATGTTATGTGAAAATCAGCCATATAAACTGTGAGATTAATGCAGTAAGGGACATCTTTATACCTAGAAATATGTAAATGAAACAATTTCCCCTTTAAAGGAGCCACTTTGTTTCCCTTTTCAGGCCACACCCAACTACACAAAGTTTGTGCACTTTCCTCAATCCATTCCTAGCCATTCTTTTCATTGGTTACAGGGAGCAAAAAATGATCCTCTGGCTGAATTTTGTGCCCTTCTTAGTGTTCCTTTAAGGTAGTTTCCCCCCCCCCCCCATCTTTAAATAATTTATGTCCATATTCTCTTTTTGTATATAGAATATTTCATTGTAACACTTTTGTTTTTAGGAGTCCAATCTGAGGTCCAGGTAGCGGAGTCTGGAGGGGATGTGAGAAGACCTGGGGAGTCCTTCCATCTCTCCTGCCAAGCCTCTGGATTCACCTTCAGCAACTATCACATGAACTGGGCGAGACGGGCTCCAGGGAAAGATCCTGAATGGGTGGCCAACATACGTATAGGCTCATCTCCTTCCACTTACTACCCAGACAAAGTCAAGGGACGCTTCACCATTTCCAGGGATGATTCTCGTAGCCAGCTGTATATGCAAATGAACAGCCTCAAACTGGAGGACACACCTGTCTATTATTGTGTGAGAGACACAGTGAGAGGAAGCCAAGCAAAAACTCTTTTTTTCCTCTAAGCAATTTTCCAAATTGAATCCGAAAGTTGAATTTGATCATTTAAAGTGAGAAGCAGAAGGTAAAAACTCCATATATGGAACCTCAGTTCTGATCTTCTAAGAAGCCGTGTGGAAGATTATTAACACTTTAAGTGAGAAGAAGAAAATCTCCAGGCTGTGGAACAAACTTGGGAGGTTATCTAATCCTAATATGTGCAAGTACACTTTTTGACTCAGGAGGATCAGCCCCAAAGTGTCCACTTTGAAATATACGAAAACATTTAGCGAAAAGCAACCCTTCCCATTTTCCTCTGCACTAATAATTAAATATCTCTGTCTTGACTATCGTAAGGACTTGCCCGTAATCTCAAATTTATTGCAAGGAATTCTATTATGCCAATGAAGAGAGCATCTGATATATTAGGAAAAGAGGAATGGAGTTTGAAGAAATAAAAAAACTAACTGACAGCAAGCACATATAATTATTACCTTATAATACAA